GCTTTCCCCCAGGTCGCTGCTTCTCTTCTCATTGCACAAAGGGCAACGTGCCTTTTGTTTGGGCTACACGGCTACATCCCAGTTATATGTAAATCCCTTGTTTCCTTGATCCGACAGCCATCTCCCCACTATTCGCCACTTCACACGCGCACACACACACACTTATTGACATGCGCGCTGACTCGAATGCCGTTCGCCACAGGGCAACCTAGGTAACCAAGGGCCTAAGAGGTCAGGTAAGTTGAAACCAAAGAACCTACGAAACCTGAGAACCCCTGAAACTTCCAAAGTCTCCAAAACAAGTTCAAACCCCAAGTTCACGAAAGACCGTGGTGAATCGCCGCTGCACTAGCTCTTTACTGATGGACACAACGTATCAAACAATTTGTGCTTTACGTAGGTTTCTTTCCAAGCAGGTACGTTGATCCGGCGTCCCGGATCAATATCACCAGCACATATCGAGTGTCTTCGTTGGTGCGAGACTGGATAGGCTACTTGCACCCCCGGCTGGTTAAAAACAATCTGAAAGGATCCCTGTGAGCCCAAGGGTTACACACACGCCTCCCCAAAGGGATACGAAAAACTAAGTGACGAACAAACACTCACTCACTCACCCACTTACTCAGTTTGTCCGTGTCCCCCGGCTTTGGGAACGTAGGTGTCCGAGGCGGACAGCAGGAGGCTTGTGCCAAAGTCATTTGCCAAGACTTAATGGATTATTGAATTCCAAGTAGGCCGCTTTCGCGCATGCCAGAACGTGTCCGCAGCGGACGTGAGTAGGCTTCATGCCACGAGGTGGTCGCAGCGACCAAAGCTTTTTCAAGGCTCAGTGAAACCTGTCGTAACCTTAGGTGCACACACAACATGTACAACGAGGCAGGTCTTCCTGGGTCGTTGTAACGAGGTTTGGCTTCATTGGTTCCCGGCCGGTTTCCTTTTTCGTCCTTTCCCCTTTTCAAACACTTTCTTTCCTCCTTTTGTTTCATGTCTTTCCTTGCTTCGTGTCCTTTCATCTCACGCCCCCCTGTTCAACGGGTCCACAGGGGCCAATAGTGGGGGTCACCCTGGGCTCTCACTGAGCAGCGACACACTTATTGACATGCGTGCTGACTCGAATGCCGCTCGCCACACGGCAACCTAGGTAACCAAGGGCCTAAGAGGTCAGGTAAGTTGAAACCAAAGAACCCACGAAACCTGAGAACCCCTGAAACTTCCAAAGTCTCCAAAACAAGTTCAAACCCCAAGTTCACGAAAGACCGCGGTGAATCGCCGCTGCACTAGCTCTTTACTGATGGACAACGTATCAAACAATTTGATACAATTTGTGCTTTACGTAGGTTTCTTTCCAAGCAGGTACGTTGATCCGGCGTCCCGGATCAATATCACCAGCACATATCGAGTGTCTTCGTTGGTGCGAGGCTGGATAGGCTGCTTACCCCCTGCTGAATAAAAACAATCCAAAAGGATCTCTGTGAGTCCAAGGGTTACGTAAGGCTCAAAAGCTCATGAACATTCCAATTTGTTACACTGCTGTTACTCGATAAAGTTGGGAAATTATGTATGATGCTCTTTCTGGATGTTCTTCGAGTGCGTATCCTTTCCGCACAACTGTCGTTCCTCTTTTTGGGGCGCCTGGGCGGAGATCGGGATCGGGCCCAAGGAGACGGATTCGCGGTAGGTGGCGCAAGGACAGCTACGCCTTGGATCACCCAGGCGTGGGCCGAGGCGTCTGGAGAGAAGAAACCAAACCCTCCTGCAGGGATGGGGCCCCACCATCTGGAGGGAGTGCCAAAGACCTTATTTTCGGCATGCCATGGCGTTCCAAAAAAGATTGTCGCGGCAACCAGTTCTGAGGTGGCTGATGTCTTCCAATAGCACATCCTGCATGTGATTGTCGTTGATTCTGTAGAAGCTCCACAGGGAACAAAAAGTATGTGTGAAGCTGCTTCTCTCATGGTCGGACTTTCAGAACTGCTTGTTTCAGGCATCAATGTCGGCAAATGGGGATTCTCCAGCAGCTATCTAAAACTTTTTGATGCAAAGCTTTCGGGTGAGACTCGTATGAGCGTCATCTGCCACGTTTCAAGGGCATATTGAGCGTGAAAGTCAAAAAGAGCTAAAAAGCCTGAACTGAGAATCCCTTCGCAGCTTTCGTCTGTGACCTACATCGGGGAAGTGATTGCACGAAAAGTGTGACAATTGAAACAAAGAGTTGTCGTATGTTGTCATTTCCTTCGTTTTGAGATTTTCTCTCAAACCCGAAGACGGTGCGAAGAACTGCCCACTTCAGGGAGCAGGACCGAAGACCCCCCACCAATGGAAGTCTAACCTGGCAAGGAACCACATGGGCCATGGGTGCTTCTTGCAAAGAGTTTGCCTGGCTGGCATTCAGTTGGAACCCTCTGGAAGCGTCCCCATGAAAGCTTCTTCCAAGACTCGGCCGCATGGGCGAGACCCCCGTGTACGGGAGCGCCCCCGGCGGCAGTGGACAACCACCGAAGGACCACCTCAGGTCGAAGAACGAACGTCAAAATGAAGAAGAAAGATGTAGCAATCACACCTGCAGCACAGGGATCGTGGAGGACATGCGAGGACCCTGCTTCAATTCCACCACTTATTATATAGGGATTTTAAACTGATCTGAATGAATCGCATTCATGTTGTTCAGATTGGAAGGAACAGAATGAATTGTATACCAAGACTTACCTCACCTGGATGCAACCGACTCTGCCAAGCAGCTCAACACCGTACACCTCCAAGCCGGCATGGAATAATCCAAGTCCAAGAGGATGCAAAGTATTGTTGGCCACCTCGGGAAGTCTCTTTATTTGGGGGGTGGAGGCCGAGGCAGTTTAGGATTTCTTGGCACCAAGTGTTGAAAACCTGTTCTGCAAACTAGGGCCAGTCTCGCCAAACATCTTGGCTCCAAAACCACTGCAAGGGGTCCACTTTTACATTGGCAGTGAATTCCAAAACCCAACTCATCAAACTCATCAGCCTCACACGTGATGGACCAGTGACCCGGGACGCACCGAAAAAAGTGCCCAAAAACGCAGCGTGCCTCGGTCCCATTGAGATCGTACACATGAAGCCATGCTTCAGGGCCTGAATCAGGCATGGAACGCCAAATGGGATGTAGTTGACCTGCTGGGGGTGTTTGAAATGGGTGGCAAAAAATCCATGTTCTGGACTGCTGGGGGTACCTGGAAGGTTGTCGAAGTGAATGAGCTCCCGGCCCTCAAACTCCAGCCGTGTGCCCCTGTCATCTCCAGCAATCCTGAGCCCATCTCAGCCGCTTTACTGCGAGATACTGCGAGCAAGGGGTAGGCATGTCACAGCAAGACTGCACTTCACTAGTAGTAGCAATAGGTGAAGTGCACTGCACACTTCATGTGAAACATATCCACAACCGCCCCCGAAGATCGCCGTGAGATTCAGCCAATTGAGGGTGTTTGGCAGCACGCCAAAGAAACATGTCTTGGTCTATCAGGATGAGTGGCAACCATCAAGCTTGTGTACTTCCTCCCTGACAGGCTTACGACGTGGCGATGCACGATAGGAAAGGCCGCATCAAACCCACCGGAGTGCAGAGAAATGGCACCCAGCAGCATCGCCGTTCACCCGTTTCGCCAACTGCGCGTGGAACAGCCTAAGGCCCTGGCGCCAAGAATCCATCTCTCTCCTGGCGAGGAGAAGAAATGAACACAGTGAACATGCAACAAGGAGCAAGGACGCTACTAGTAGTAAGGCCAGGAGCCCCTACTAGGGTCCTTGCTCCTAGTAGCGATGCCCTTTGCTCCTAGTAGCAAGAACAAGGAAGGTAGAAATGTGTGGTGAATTCGGGAAGCACTCAGGTCTTCAGGAACAACACCCACTCGACTTGCTTGGCGCCCTTCCTTCGGCTCCATGACGGTGGTGCGCAACCGTGGTGTGGAGGGCGTGGAGGCCTGAGTCTCGGAATTGATCTGAAATCTTTAGATATGAATATATATATATATATTTATATTTATATTCATATTATATATACCTATAGGTATACTATTCCCTACATATATATATATAGGTAACAGTAGTATACTGTATATTGTTTATTTTTTTGACCAGGGCCCCCCTAAGACAGAAGTGGTCCACCTCTTAACCTCTAAGGAGCTATGATTAGACACCCCTTAGGGGGCCTAGGATGGCCTAGGTATATGTGTCGCGTTAAATTGGATTATTGTCACACAAAGACAAAAGCCAAGGGATCTTCAGTCTCGAAACTCCCCGGCCGCTCACGGGCTGCACTGGTAGCGATACCAATGTGTTTTCCACGCGGAGTGAAATGCTAGAATGCTGGACAATGCTGGCGGACTCCACTCCCACAACGACTCACAACGCGAGTATTACAAGCTGTTCAACCTGGAACCTGCAAGTGTTTGACCATGTGAAAGCCTGAGACTGATCTGAAGGTTTAAACATATCGCTGGCCAATGAAAACAACACGATCTTCAATGCCAAGCTTCACTGGGCGAAGACGTGCTCATAAACAAATCCAGGGGTGCGATCATTGCGCCGAACCATCAGAGATCCAGCAATTGCTACGCTGCTTCGTCGTATCTTGAAGATTTTTGTGATGCATGAAGAGTAGGCGGGTGGTCCGGTGGTTGCTACATTTCGGCTATCTCTCTCCCTCTAGCCGTCTCACCGGGGCTGTGTCATGCTACGTACTTCTTCAAGGGAGCACAAAACGGTGCTTGAGCCCGCCTTGCCAAGCTTGACTGCTTCACTCCGAAGCCTGCAAAACGCAAAGCTTCCATGGTTTGCGTGTCCTTCTTCCTCGCTGCCAACCTGAGTCCCAGACACCCAGCCAAGGGGCATTCCAGCCAAAGGGTCCGTGCAGGAGGCAGCGCCTCAGGTGCCATACCAGGAGTCCCATGTCACATGAGGCGCATGAATTACTTAGAGAAAGCGAAAGCCTGCAGTCTCCTTCGACTTGGGGAGTGGCGTTCACACATCTAAACTTGTTGGCCGGCACGCAACTCGTCTCAGCAATTGGGGATTGAACCGCCTGTACAGGTTCCATGTCGCAACTGCCTGTGAGAGCACACCGCAACTGTCGCACTGGGATGCGAAAAAGGAAACGCTTTGCGTTGCCAAAGTCTCTGCCCCTGGTTTGTCACCATAACCCAAGCACAGCTCCGCTCTACTCCTTTGGAAGAGCAGAGCTCCTCACACGAGACAACCAATCGCCATCGGCGATGCGTAGGGAGCAGGACCGCTCGAATTTGCCAGTGCGATGGTAAACGTATGCAGGGCTGGCCACCCCATTCTCATTTAACACGGTGGCAACTGTCCGGCTGTACAAGTCTGGATAACCTTCGATATTATCTGCTTCAGTGAGCTTGGAGGCGAGCAATGTGAGAGGGGCTGAGGAAGCAGGTTTCAGCAACATTCCTTTCACGGAACAGCTGGTATCCTCAAAGCAAACCGCTGGGTAACGCCCATCGATATAGAGCGAGGCACCTGGCAAATAGGCCACTTCTGCTTCCAAACCTTCACTAAAGGACTTGGTCCAAGAAGCACCCGAGTCATCGTCGGGGCGCAGCGTTCCATACACAAAGAAGCCCACGGGCAACTGCCCTTGCTCTGATGCGGCTCGACCTTTGCGCCGGGGTGGAGCGGTAGGGGGAGATGAAGTCAGCTGACTTGCACTTGCTGCACTTGCACTTGCCTTGGCGCAAATGTGGAATGAAAAGAACAAAGCACAATGATAGACATGTAATTGATTACCTCAAATATCACCTAGAATGATGAGTCTTCTAGGCAGTCTTCGGCCAATTGACGCAATCTCATGCGACTCACTTCATAATCGAAAGACTTTCTTTTTCGGCACGGTCGCTCGAGCTGACGACTTCATGCCGGGGCTGGGCGCGCGTGGAGCTGAGGCAGCTGAAGTCTTCATGCCAGGGCTGGGTGCTCTTGGCGCCATGCTCTTTCGTGTGCTCGCTGGTGTGGAGGTGCCTCGAGTCGCTGTCCGTGAGAGGACCGGGCTCGCCGAGGCGGAACTGCTCTCCACGTGGGCACCGCTCGCGGGTCCCGGAGCTTTCAGGGGGGCCAGCAGAGGCTCCTTGCAAAGGCGGGCCACCTCGCGGACAAGACCCGGAAGAACTTCACCACTTTTCCTCAGTCTCAACTTCACTTAAGAGTTCTTAACCACATGAAAGTTATTCAAGACACCACGGAATCCCAGGGAAACTAAAGGCCACAAATCATCTCCCATTCTGCTGTCAAGGGTCCCTTGCAGGTGCAACATGCCTGCAGTGGCATCATCTTTCAGATCAACTTCAGGGTCGATTCGAATGATGAGCGCTCCCGAACTTTGTGCAGCCCGCACCATGGATCTCGGGCCACCTGTGGTCAATTGAGTCCCTATGATCAAGAGCACATCGCACTTATCCATCTGTTCCATCACAGTTTTCCACTTGAAGAAGGCCTCGTTGTAGCTTTCATCAAACCACAAAATCTTCGGCCGTTGCCGTTGTCCGCATTGGGGGCACATTGGGAGTCTCTCCTCTGCTTCGTCCTTGGCCGGCGTCGGTGTCATCATCACTGTGGCACGTGCACGCTCAAGGTTGGCAGGGTCATTCAAATCCATCTTGTATAGGCAAGCGCCTTCCAAACGCTCATCGCATCGCATTTCATCAATCCGACCATGAATCTCGCAGAGCTTGCTGATATCAAAGCCCGATTGCTGATGCAAACCATCCACATTCTGGGTCACCAGAGTCATGTCCACCAGTTTCTGCAGCTCTACCAGCGAGGTGTGGCCGGGATTCGGTTGCGCTTTGCGGCAAATACCCCACCTGTACTGGTACCAGCGCCACAGCTCCGCTGGCATTTCATTATATTTCTCCCAGGTGGCCAATTCCTGCGGTTGGTAGTGCTTGGAGCCAACGGTCCAAAAGCCATCGGCTCCACGGAAGGTGGGGATACCACTCTCTGCACTGATGCCGGCGCCTGTGAGCACCACCAGGTTTTGAGATCTCCGCAAGGCTTGTGCCACCCTTGCCACGGAAATGCGTGCAGCTGGACGGACATCAGAGGAGAGGCCCCCACCACCCATGATCTTTTCAACAGCCATGCGGTTCAAAGCCTCAAATTTGGCCTTGAACTCCTCCCACTTCTCATCTAGGCTGCTGCTGTATTTGCACTTGGCATCGGCTTCAGCAACAGCCTTCTCAAATTGCGCTGCAGATTCCTTCATGCCGGCAACAGCTGCCCGTGCTTCTTCTTGCACCTCCCTTGCCTTGGCAGATGACTTGGAGGCGTTCTGCAAGATCTCCATTGACTCCTTGACGCTGATACTCGCACCAGCCACTCCCAACACGCCTCGTGAACCAGGTCGGCTTCCACCTGAGCCCGGTCGGCTTCCTCCCCTTGTCGCTTCCGGCTTCTCCATCGTGACAACGAATGCCGGCGCCCCGACGTCCTTTTCCTGATGCTGGCTGCAAAATGCTCAAAATAAGCAAATGCCCACCCGACCCCAAAAGTTCTCCCCACGACCGCAAGACCCTTCCCGAACTCACCCAGCCCCTGTGATCCCCTGTGTGCAGCTCGAAACTGCCGCCCTCCTTTTTCTAGGATGCTTCCCCGAGAGCTTCAAGTCCCTACACGTCTTGCAGGACTACGTCGTCCTGTATGCTGTATGCGCGGGCAACAGCAATTTTGGGGATTGGTGTGTGTGTGTGTGTGCGTACGTGTGCCAATTCCCATGCCACGCATTGAGACACCAAGGGTTCTTGGTTCGCATACAGAACCACCAGCAGCATACAATATGCTGCGCAACCACAGGATCTCAGGGCCTTTGGGATCCCTCAAAATTTCGTAAAATTTCACACGTGCATGTCGCTATGCCATCCGCACACAGTTTCCATAATTTGTACATGTTGGAGGTTGCTTCGGCTGGGCCCACTACACCCCCTATCTTCTCAGATTACATATTCATATTCATATGTATATCTATCATTATCTGCTATATACTTCAGAATGATGGCTGCCGCGACATGTCATGGGAGGTGACGGGCCTTGGAAAAATCGATTTCCGTTGCTCACCGATTCAAACATTGAAAGCAGGTGTCAAGGCAGCAACATGATAGGTTCAACAGTTTGTGGGTAGACTTGCGACTGAGACATACTGAGACCCGTTGCTCAAAAGACTTTGGTTTCTTTGCCCGTTGCAAAATCTCAAGCAGGGCTCGAGAATTGCTGGCAGAACACTACTAGCGGGCTTCGTCGCAGCAGCAGTACACCGGGCCGTGCTGCCGAGGCCTTCGCAAGACCTAAGCAGTCAACTGACCGTCCAACGCCAACCAATGGCAAGACCTGAACAGGGCAAGGTCAGAAGTCTCAACCTACAAAAAATCCAACACTATTGTTGGTTCTTTGCTTCACTTCGTGACCAACTGCCCTTCAGAGGAAGACACAGGCCAAGCCATTCGCGACAGGCAGACTCCAAGTTCGCTGAGTCAGAACATGAATCACACTAGCATATGTTATTTCATGGTATTTGAATATACGCATGTCAAAACCATTGGCAGTACAGCAACAGCTTCTCGAAGTCTGGAACGTTTACGAATCAGGGCTGCTTCAAAATCAGGTACAGTACCGGGTGACCTCCGACTATTACGCCGGGCCATTGAAGCTGCTCAAGAACCCCATCCAGGCACTAGCTCATCATCCCGTTTGAGCTGGCAACAACTGCCAAGATGTCTATATGAGCCATCCCACGCACTTGACTTCAGAACCTAGAATATATAACTGGCATTACAATTGCAACAGCGGATCTAATTTGTTTTTGGTCTGGCTCACTTCCACTCCATCTTCAGTTGTGGTCCCGCTGTTCGCTTTCCAGTTGATCTACATGAGCTTGCGCATCCTTCACCTTGGACAACTATGGCCGCACATATGTAGGCCTTTTACATTTCCATGCGAAAACCATGGTTTGCTTGTCCCCTGGGCTGGCCTTGCGCTTCTGCAGCTGGATTTCACTGTCCTGGAAATGATGGGCGGTGCGCAAACGGTTGCATCAAGGCAGTGGAGCTGGCAACTTAATTTTGGCTTTGGCCACCGTCCCCTACAGGCGCTGAGAGGGATCACTCAAGCAATTGCAATACTGTATGCAGAGAGCCACCACCACCATTGTATGTTGCTTGGGCACATGGAAAATCAAGAAAAGGCTATTGAAGAAGTGAATAACGCAAAGATTAAACACAAATTTCAACAAAGTCGTTTGTCTGAATTTGCCTCCGACGGGTGAAAAAATAGAAAAGAACCTTGTCAGAAGTTCGCCTTTGAAAAAATGGACCCCATTGGGTAAGTATTAATAGCGACCGCCCGTCCTGACGGTTCTGATGTTGTCTTCTTTGCGCGGGCAACGCCGGAGTTCACAGAGGAAAACAAAATCCTAGGACGACCTAGTTTACGAAACAAACATAAATCAGAGATGCACCATGTCCATCAAAAGTTCCATCCCCTTGTTACATTGATGGGTATTTTGGGACATATTGGGACAAACCGATTGAGATACAATCGCTGATACACAAGGAGTTTTAACAGCCGAAGCATGGGATAGGTCAACAAAGTTTATGAAAGATGTGGAGCAACCCTAAGCATCCTTTGGTTTTGGTGGGATTTTTGTTTTATGATTTATGGGGACGCGATTCTCAGAATAGAAACCGTGAAGCAACCATGGGAAAATATCAAGCGCGCATCAAGGCAGGATGCGTTTTTTAAGATAAAAAATTTGCCTACAGTTTAATTTGTCTTTGTTACGTTAGCTCAAATTCGGAAATCCCCACATAAAGGGCCTGCCAAGGATACGTTACCGCGGGGAGGGTTGGAAATTGTAGTTTGAAGTCTGCCAGGCCCGATGACATTAGGTACCCCCCGCGCGCCGCAGCATGGGAGAAGGATTGGAGTCAAAATAGCAGGAACAACCCCAAAGCGGCAGATAGTACGAAACTTTGTTGTTGAGGTATGTTTGAAAGCCGTATGTGCAAACGGGTGACAATTTATATTGACAAAATGTGATCATGTGTGACCAGGTATTCATTCTATGATCATGAATGTTTACCCGAATGCACTCTATACCTTGTAAAGTCCGGGGCCCAACCGCTACTTGGAATTCCATAGCGGATAGATGCCCCATACGCTTGGTGGAGTGAACTGGGAAGGGGGATCCATGGTGTGAAACGTGCACAATTGACTTCGACTCAGGATCAACAAACGCGAGATTGCACGAACTTTTATATGAATAAGCAATGCTGAGATCTATGCTGTCTCCTTGCTGCAATTTTAGTTCTCTCTTTTTTGTTCATCTATGTCAGATTAAGCCGGGGCCTATTGTATAGCAGCTGGTGGCTGCAATGGCTTAGAGTTGCATGCACTCTACAAGCAACCCTGTTGAATCTGAATCTTTTTTTTCTGGCAGAAACTCCTGCAACGCATAAAACAAAACAGCCGTAACACATCAGTCAAATCTTGGCTGCCCGCCCTGCGACGCAAAATTGTAAGTAAGAGAGGAGGATCACATTGTTGCCAGGACGACGAAATCCAATTTTCACATTCCTACATGCCCAAGTGGCTTCCAATCTATACGAACCAAGGTTTATGCCCCGTGCTGCCCCCTGGTTCGAATTCCTCACTTTATCATGGTTTATCCCCACCACCAGGATGGGTATCTACGTGTTGGACCCTCATTTGGGAGTGGTGCCCGTGTGAGGGTCACCACGTGCAAGCCCCCAGGCGCGGGCTCCGTTTCTGCTCGCGGGCTCGGTGCGGGCTTGCGGGCTTGGCGCGGAATCGTGCACTCAGGCAGGCTTGCAGGTTTTTGGGATTAAGTGCACGCGTGCTCGATGTGGAGTGTCCAATACCGGACGAACTGTCCACACATATCCGCACCAACGTCAGTCTGATTCTTCAAATTGCCCTCACAAGCAAGCTTTTCACCGTATTCCACTCCACATTCATTGGAGAAGTCCTTTCTCGCCCCCCCAAGAATGAAGGCTTATGACCGACTACGTTGGTCTACCGGAAAGAAAAACTATTAAGCCCCAGATAGCGGGTGTATAGACTCAAAGGACACGGACAAGTCACTGCACAGCGCGCAGCATCAGTCCAGTCCACCAATATGTGCATCATCTTCCAGTTGAAGGCGCCAGTTTTGCCCAACACAAACGTTAAGCCGCAAGATCGGCAAAGACCAGCCAAAGCTGCCCAAACGACATGGTTGCCATTGCCGCACAACACGCTGTCATGCACAATATGACAGCATGTCCTCCCTGGCATGATATGATGTCATTTCTGGCATGACACGATGTCATCCCTGGCGTAACCTGATACCATCCCTGGCAAAACATGATGTCATTTTGAGCATGACCCGATGTCATCCTGGCATGACGCACAGCGAAATTCCGAAACGCCGATCCACCAGCACCTGCACCTGCACCAACATCAGCACCGGAGCAGCACCCCCAAAACGCCGACCCAGAGCCACACCATAGCCCGCAGCTATCTGGGGAACAAGGGGTGCAGGAATCGTGCTCTGGTGCGGGCCCAAGCGGGTTTGGCGCGGGCCTGCGCGCAGACCTTCACACTATGACCATGACCCTTCATTTTAGGAAGTTTGTGGCAAGTCTGCAACACGCCATGCCTGCTCTGTCCCCATGCTATTTCACAGGCGAAGCTGCCCTGTTGTCTTGCTGGTCTTGTGTGTGTTTGGGGGTGTCACCATGCCGGCTTTTCAGGCGCGGCTTAACAAGAAACAAGATGGAACCCACGAACCCGAATGCAAGCACGTTCCATATGCCCAAAATGACACTCTTGTAGGACACTCTTGTGGGACACTCTTCTGGGACACTCTTGTGGGACACTCTTGTGGGACACTCTTGTAGGAAACTCTTGTGGGTCACTCTTGTAGGACACTCTTGTGAGTCACACTTACGGGGCACTTTTGTAGGACACTCTTGTGGGACACTCTTAAAGGACACTCTTGCAGGTCACTCTCATGGGGCACTCTCTTGTGGGACACTCTTGTAGGACACTCCTGTGGGTCACTCTTACACGACACTCTTGTAGGACACTTCTTGTGGGACACTCTTGTGAGACACTCTTGTAGCACACTCTTGTGGGTCACTCTTGTAGGAAGCTCTTGTGGGGCACTGTTTTGGGACACTCTTGTAGGACACTCTTGCGGGACACTCTTGTAGGACACTCTTGTGGGACACTCTTGTAGGACACTCTTGTGAGTCACTCTTACGGGGCACTTTTGTAGGACACTCTTGTGGGACACTTTTAAAGGACACTCTTGCAGCTCACTCTTATGGGACACTCTTGTGGGTCACTCTTATGGGACACTCTTGTCGGACATTCTTGTGGGACACTTCTTGTGGAACACTCTTACAGGACACTCTTGTGGATCACTCTTATGGGACACTCTTGTTGGACATT